TGAAATAATTAATCTTTTTTATTATCATGATGTTCAAATTTTTTATTGATCTTCTTACTTACCATATATCAATCTTATCAAAGATTTGTGAACTATACTTAAGGAAAAGATGAAAAAGAAGATAAATTTATGATTAATCAAAAAAAACTTTCAATAATGGAATTTCAAATGATAATACAAATGAAATGGATGGATTTGAGCAAGAAGTATGAAAGATCATGTTTCAGCGATGATTGAATGGGAGGGAAAAAAAATTGACTATTAAATTTTTGTAAATAGTTAGTAGTCATATTTGAAAATTTTGCACATGTTAATAATAGAAATAAAATGTCTTACCTGTCATAATAAATTCCGGATATTTATGTCGACCACTGTAATTGTGTAATAATGATGATCTGTACAACCATTTTATGTTTCGATTGATGAATGCTTAATTCGGTTGACCGGTTGACCCGGTTAACCCGGGTCAACCGAAAAAAACTCGGTTAAACCGGTTGAACTCCGGTTCGGTTAACCGGTTAAAGGTTTGAGTACCCGGTTCAAGTCTCTAATCAACGTAATTTAGAAATTGGACCAATAGGGATTAGGTATTCGGAAAGGGTCTGAAAATAAGCAACCCCCTAAATCGAGGGTTGCTTATTATCGGGACTTTACGATATATAGAGAGGATTTATTATAAACTGAATTGAAGCTGTATAATTAGTCTTTACTATAACAAGAATTTATTATGGGGTTTTTGAGTTAATGATTCTAACCGATTGATCCTTAACTAGCTAAAGCTTTCTTATACGGTTAACTTTTTCTAAATATAGATATAAAGTATTGCAGCAGGTTATGCTTTTTATTCTTGTGACTAGTGTTTCAAAGCTGGCTATGCACCGGCGCATTCTAGCCAGCTTTAAACACTACTTGTAATGCCGTTAATGAAAATTCACGTCAATCACAGAAATTGTACATAGTCAAACCACCACATATCAAAATGCTATGAACCATATATTTACACCGCTTTCGTAAGTTCTTTACTATATTAAAAAATTACTGTATATAGAAATGCTTATTAACCGGGGAGAGATTTCACGCCCACATCACATATAAACATGCATTTGTAGCACATTGAATTTGATAGAATTGAAAATCATGAACTATTATCAAATGTTTCAAATATCACAAACGAATTTATAATGATGAATTATTTAGAGGAGATAAAGATATCAACAATCTAATAAAAGAATGCAACAAATTTAATAAACAGGGATTATTCGAATGGATCCCTTTTGAAAGATTTATCAACGTTGAGTATCTTGTACATAGGATGGTTTTGGCAACATGGTTGGATAAAAGCAAGTGGGATTATGAAGAGAATAAATTTATGCGATATGGAGAAAGGAAAAATTGTGTTGAAGTTTTTACACAATTCAAAGCAAATTACTCCGGAGTTTATAAATGAGGTATAAAAATGAAACATTTCTAAATAAAAGTTGCTTTCTGTTTTTCTGATAAAATCAACTTTTCAAAAATAGATTCAGACCGCTCTTAAATATAGTTATAATATTGAATATTTACGGAAGAAATAAAAACCCAACTGCAACGCAATGGAATACAATCAATACCAAATAATATTCCCGGATGGTGTTATTGAAAAATGTTGGGATCCTATTCAGAAAATAGACCAACCGCTGAGGAACTTGTTGACTTCATCAGACCTATCTACGAAGACGACTGTATCAACTATAGTTGATGGAAACCGAATACTTTGGATTTTCAGTTCTACAGTCCATAAAACAAATGAAGGAATTAAAAGAGAGTGTTAAATTAGAACAGCAAAAATGGAGAAGAAATGAGGACAAATCCATCCAAATGCAATTTATGAAATTTTTTTCATTCCCAACTCCTACATATTGGTATAGTAATTTTATTATTAAATATCAATTATAATTGACATTTCATATTAATTAAAATTATATCGAATATTAATGTTCCACAAGTATCCATTTGTTTGTTCTATACGAAGGTAATATTAATGCAAGTTTTTCATTGATTTCTTTAATGCAGCATCTTTTCTTGATGGTGCAAAACAGACCTGGAGAATAAGGATGTGTCAAGTGTGCAAGATAACAGATCATAACGCGAATCAAAGTGATTTTAATTACTTTGTATACGCGCATATATTTATTATTTTGACCATTACTCTCAAGATATTATTGTCAGAATAAGGAAATTACGAGAACGATAAAATGATATTCGATTAAATTTTGAATAGATTTACACTCGTTTTTTATAAGTTCTTATTCTATTATTTTTGACAAATTAAAAAATTACTAAATATATATATAACCGATTAACCGTGGTTAATAATCAAAAAATTATATCCGATTAAGAATTCTTAACCGACCCATTTGTATGAAATTTTTTTGGAATGTGTTTCCATCATAGATGTTTCATATACTGTAATGTAACCAATCTAAATACATGATATTACAAATTCTCAAACCAAGCTAATTAAAATGACACATCTTTAATTGAGATTGGAAATCGGATGTAAGAGAAATCCATGTAGCAGCCATTGATCCTGGGTGTTCGAACTTTTCTCACATGGTATCCACTCACAGTTGGCTATGGTAATATTGGCGACAAAAATAGTAATCGTATTGTGCGCCTCTGCCTGTCTCTTGACGCTCTTATGTCACGCGTACCACTAGAGCATCAGCAAAGAAGCGCAACTTTATGAAACAGGCACAAGCTCGCTTAAGAAAATGCATTCGAAATCTGGTGGATGAAGAGCACAAAAATGCTGCATGATGGTTGACTCATACTTCTGATATGATAGTGTTGCCAACTTTTGATAGCACACGACGTCGAAAAGGAAGCAGACTTAGCAATAGGGCGGTTCGAAAGATGATGAGTTGGGCACATGCTATGGTTATGAAACGATTGGTGGAAAGATTTAATAAGGTTGTTATAACGTTCGTGTCAGAAACATATACGAGTAAAACATGCAGTATATTAAGAGGAATTTGGGTGAAAAGAGCTTAGATGTGATGAATGTGGGCTTCGGATTAATAGAGACTTAAATGGCGCCAAGATTTTCCTCTGGGCATGCTTGATGGAACCTAAGACTATGCCAATTAGTTGGTTTAGCTATAGTTGATCGATTCAATCCATCCGGTTAAAATTTAGGTTTACTTGTTTGAATGTATTTTCTTTGAGATCATCTTTTATATTACATTGAACAATTAAAGTGTGCATTGTATGACCGCACGTGTATATTACACAACACACAACTAGGATTTCGTAGTTATTACGTGCAGGGAATTGATGTTAGTTTTGTTTGATATTATAGAAAAAAATCTAGATTTTCTATTTTTAGACATTTTAGTACGGGCTGGATATATGTATACGTAGATCATTTGATCAAGCGGGTTACCCACCTTCTTTTTTTGGATTATTCGTACTTAATGAAATGTTTCAAGGAAAATTGTAATAAAAAATATAATTCCATAATAAAATGAGATATACATGATACGAAGGAAGTAAATGATAGGATTCCATCCCTAGGTGCACATACCACTCTCTCATGCACAAGCGCACAAGCATCAAAAATAAAGCATATGTATCTATGAAAGTACCTTCTTCAATGTAAATAAATGCCATGTGAAGGGGGTTGTTAGAGAGAGTAAAGATCAACAGCAGTTAATAAACGTAATTATGAGTTTAATAATTAATTAGACATAAGGGTTGGAACAAAAAGGCGGACGAATGAAAATTTAAACAAAAGCAAATATAATGAGCCTAGACCATTTACACTTACATTACATAATAAAATTCGAAATTTCATTTATCCTCAAAATATTCATTACATAAAAAAGTAGGGAAATAAAAATAGATAATGAAAAACTATTGCATAGACCTTTTGTTTATCTGTATTCTTGTACTCATTTACACATATAATAACGATAACCGTTTTTGCATCAGATATGCACAAAAATGTACTATCGCTTATTCAGTCTGTCGGTTACAAACGAAGCGCAAAATTCCTATCTTCTTTTTTTTTTGACGCGTAACTTTTTAATTCATTGATTGACTTACTAAATATACTTCATTTATGGGCACACTTTAACATATTAGTGTAAAATTAAAGATTCCTTAACTGCTTTTTTTTACAATGTACTAATGAGATCATTTTTTCTTTCTTTTTCCCTTCTTTTTCCGAAACTTAAAAAAAGATATATATTATATCCATCTATTTAGGTTAGATAAAATTCAAACAACTCAATCCTAAAAAAATTGCAAATACTTATTAATTCCAATTTCAAAAAAAGCTCTTTCATTTCCGAATATAGTTATGAAACGGAACAACCAAACAAGAATATCATGATGATGATGATATTCTGCATACTGCATAAAATAGACTTAGCATTAACATATTGACATACATATAATTATAAAAATTTAAAATACTCATCCATATAGAGGCATAAAAAACTCTTTTAAATCAATCTATTTTATGACTTTATCGATCGATCAATGATTCAATATATACGTGCATAAGAATATATCGACACATACTATATATATATATATATATATATATATATTTTTAATATTCTTTGATCGTGTATAAATACTGATCAGAGTTGTGTGGTTGTGGTAGTCTCGCCGTCGCGTTCGGATTCTTTTTTCTCTTTTTTCGCTTACATATTCTCAAAAAACAGAGGCACGTTCACGCACGCACGCACAAAAAGCACACACACACACACACACATATATATATATAAAAGATTTGCTTTATTGTATCATTCTTTTTTCTTAGTTGTGTCTTCTTTTCTTACCTCGAAATTGATTTTATTAGGATTCGAATTCTCACTTATTCTAACTGTAATATAATACTATAAAAAAAACACACTATTTTATGTGTCTATCGTTTTATTAGTTTTTTCTGCTTTGTTTGGTTCATATTAGTTCGTTAAGTTTAAAGTGTAGTTATAATAGTTTTTCTACCAATGAAACCATTTTTCAATCAAAATAAAAATACGACAAAACAAGAGAACAATGATGAATCGTCCATAAGTTTCGAAGCAAATCGACATGCTTCGAGGTCAAATTCTATGTTAGAATTTTCGACGCATCATAGAATAACAGCGGATAATATAAATAAAAATCTCTCAGTTCCGTCTATAATTACTTCTAATTATTATGAGGATGAAAATAACAGTATGGAAGACGACATTCCCCCAGGTAATATAATTAGCATCAATATACGCAATTTCATTATAATAGAGTGTCATTAAATCGCTGATAATTAATCATAGTGCTAAAAAAAAAGAAAAACGCGTCGTCAAGTGCTCCAACCTCTCCGTTTTCATCAGCACCTACATTCCAAAAATGGCATCCAAGACCGTTTATACGAAATTTAAGTCCCAAAAATGCTTTGAAAAGTGAACAGCAAAGTCATCACTTATCATCATCGCCATCAACATCGTTAGACGATAACTTGTCGTCGTTATCACCACCAACAACTACACCTTCAGAACTTTTTCTTTCTTCAAGCTTACAGTTTACTACGAACAGCAACGACGATAATAATGACATAGAAAATAAAAAAGAGAAAAAATCATCGCGACATAGAAGTTTTATAATTTCCACACAACAACATTTTGCAAATATATTTCGTCGTCGTAAAAGAGCCGTCTCATTAAATTCTATTTCCTCACCATGTCAGATTTCTGTTAATCTTAAACCTGTAATAATTGACGACAGTTATATCAAGCAACAATACGATGATTCCTCGGGTGCGGAAGAAGAGCTCAGTGATGCGAATGAAGGTTGGGACATTCCCGATTCATTACGAGAGATTGATTTTGCTGATGGATTACAAATAGTTGAGTATGATGGAATATTAATTAACGGTTTATGCTGTAATTGAACTTGTGAAAATTGTTCTAAAAGTGGGTTTATTTCATTTTTAATCCAAATGTAAATAAATTTGTTGAAAATACGCGATTATCTGGTTTTTCCCAAATTAAAATATATAATTACAATTGCCGAAATATCCGAATAAATGTTTGAAATTCGATCAATTTGTCTATCAAATATCCGTCCGTGTTACCAAAACAATAATGACTTGATAATTCGTGCATTTTTAATAATTTTAATCCAATCTCAAATAAAAATGCAAGCTGATGTTTTACCAATAAAGCCAAATTCACAACCAATTATTTGTATTTCGTTCTTTGGAATCTAGGCCCTGAATACGTTAATTATATCATATGCATATGCTAAATAAATTCTTTTTGATAACCTTCGGTTAATATACCAAGCTTGGTTTTTTTTATCTGTTTCAGAAACGAATCGGTTGACAAAATATATTACCGTGTGAAGTCTCAGATACTAATCTTTAAATTTTTATAAAAATTTATAAATTTTTATTTTACAATGAAGTAAATAGCTTATTATCATTAGTATTGTTAAATTTTTTTGGAGAGAAAAGGAAATTCATAACAATGCTGTGCAGTGTTGGCAATTGGACTAATTGACTATAGTAAACCGCATTCAATTCCATTTGAATATGTTCAAATCAAGGTTGGCCCCTGAACCAGTCCAAAAATGTTGTCCAAATATTTACATAATTAAATTACTAATAAATTTTTGTCCAAACTGTCCAAAATTATCCAAGAACCAACCCTGGTTCAAATCAATTGAACAATTAAGTTGCCAACACTGGTGCTGTGCAAAAAAATAATCAATAAATTATCATTTAAATAATACAAAATTTTTATATTTTTTGATTTTAGCAACAAATTTACTTACAAAAATTATTAAATTAAAATTTTATAAAAATAAAGAAAAAAATAATTCTTTTAAAATTTTATATTTTTCTTATAAAAACATATGTAAGTTTGTAAATAAAATATATTTAAAAAAAATCTTTTATAAATTAGAATAAATAAGTTTATTTAAATTAGTTCAAATTAAAATTTATATGATTCAAGCTTGAAAAATAAAAAATATAAATATTAATTTCATTATCATACTTTAATTATTTTAATTATTTAAATTAGTATGCTTTAATAACTTTAATAATATAATTTTTTTAGTTTTTCTAATAATATAAATTTTTAATAAAAAGATATAAAAAATTTATATTATAATAATATTTAATTCTTATTATATTAAATTTAAAAAATTATATATATCAAAAATAAAATATATAATTTTTTAAATATAATATTATAAAAGAAATTAATATAAAATTTATTATTTAATTTAAGTAATATTATAGCTTATACTTAATTTTTATTATTAAATTTTAAAATATTAGTTTTAAAAAATTATATAAAATTATTTATTAAAAATAAAATTAAATTTATATATAACTTTTTAAAGTATAATAACTTGAAATTTAATAATAAATAAATATAAAATTTAATATTTAATTTTTTTTGATTTTAATAATAAATATTATACTTAATTTTTATTATTAAATCTTTAAAAATTTAAAATATTATATATAAATTTACTTATTTAATATAAATAAAGATATAATAATAATAATAAAAGTAAAATAATAATAATAATATTTTATAATTATATAATAATTAAAAATAATAAAATATTTAAAATATATAATAATTTTTATAATTATATAAAATATTATATATATAGTGATGATCAAAAATAATGACTCAGGGACTAAATTTACTAATAAAATATAGTGAAAATTGAAATTTTCTCTTTATATAAAAATTTATAATTTTAATAAGAAATAA